TAAGCAGCAGTGGCTGGTGCATGTGAGGCTGCCCCGCCCCTCACAGCCACCATCCCTTGCCCGCCACTGCAGAGCTGTGGCCACGGAGCTGTGTAACCAGCCACATGCGAGTCCCCCCTCCCCGTCCCCCCTCCGGCCAGCCAGCCAGGTGGCAGGCACCACCACACCGCACCCTGCATTGCTTGCCCAAAGTCCCCTGCAGAGGGACACCCCTGCCCTCACCCCCCAGCCCTGCTCCTGGCTCCGGTGTGCCGCCTGGGGCTAGCAGCAGCCTCCGCTCCCTCAGCCCCCAGCCACCTTCCCCAGCCCTGCACCACAGCCCCCAAGCCCCACTTACCTCTAGCATCCAGGGGCAAAGGGCCAAGGGCGAGTCTGAGCCTGAGCCCAACCTTGGCTGACTCAGAGGCTCAGGCCTCACCCTTCACCCTCTCCCTCCCCCTCCAGGTAGGGCTGGGGCTTTCCTGCCCTTTCTGTAATCAGCTCTTGCAAGCTGGAGCTGTGCCAGCCTGCAACAGCTCTCTGCAAAAGCGGAGAATCCGCAGATTTCTCTGCTAAAAGGGGAAATCCGCGTTTTCTCCAATAAAAACAGGGAATCTGTGGTTTTCTCTGTTTTTCCGTGGGAAATGGAAAACCCAGATCCCCGATTATCACACAGTATAACTTGCATTTTCTTTTAAATTTTTAAGTGTAAGCTTAAGTTTCTTACCCTTCCACTTTTTAAAGCTACATCATTATTAACTTCCTTTAGAAGTTTAACTAATTCCACCTTTTTATTTAGGAGCCTTTTCTAGAGCACAGAAATATCTGGTTTCCACAAACACAATTAAAAGGTTAAATTGAAAACTGGAAACACTATAATCCACCCTTATCCAATAACGAGCAGCTCATTTAAAAAAAATAAACAAAACCAGTAATTTTACCATAGAGCTTTTCAATCCCATGGAACTGTACAAAAAGATCTTTAACTTTACTGGGTAAACCATAAAAAGGACCAAGATCAACAGAGGAAGCTTCAATTGTTTCCTTGGCAACACACAGCTCTTCAGACAGAATAGCTTCTTTGAGCTGCTTAGTTTTAGAAATCTGTAGAGACTGAGCCTTAGCATTTCCAGCCATAGAACTTTTGAGGTGATCTTTGAGACTCTTTCTTTTATTCAGATCAGTTATGATGTTTTGGGATGGTTCATTATTTGTTTTGGTATGCTCTACATCATTGTGACAAAATGACGGATTCAAGATTCTGCCAAGACCAGAATTCATGTGATTGTCACCAGCATTTGCTTGTTTTGTAGAAGCATCCACTTCCTCGAAATATAGCTGCTGTGAGCATGGCAAATCATCTAAAATAAAATCCCCCAGTTCTTGAGTCCTTTCTTCTTGTTCATCTGGACTTTTCCAGACATTATCTTCTTCTTTCACTCTGAAACCATTAACATTTTCTGTGGCAGAAAACATGAGTTCCTTGCTTTTGGAATGTTGTATGTGAAGCTTCCCTGATGCAGGTTCTACAACAGCTTTGTCTTCCAGATTTTCTGGGTGCAAAGCAAAATCAACAGATTGCATGTATTTTTGCTCCAGGTCATCAACCTGAGCTAGCAAAGAATCATTTCCAGAAAAGCTGTCATAGTCCCCAAACATGTCCTCTTCACCGTCGTCATTATACTGCAAAAAAGTAGTAAATTTGTGATGATGCCATGGCAGATGCAAGGTTGATTCACAATTTGAAGCGTGCGTATGTACATGCAACCCAAGATACAACACGCTACAGTTTTGTTAGTAATTTAACTCTGTGCTTTATTGTGCTTGGAAAAATGAAGGGTGGATTTGCAAAAGCACTGTGACTTTCAAAGGGATCAGTCAGTGAGTCCTGGCCTAGACACCAATTCTTGTACTAGTGCTATATAGTTATCCGAGTTAATATTGTAGGATGTGTGTGTAGACGTTAGAATAAAGATAATTTTTTATGTATGCACATATACATATGTCCATATATGTTTCAATTTATGTACTAGTAAAATGCAATTTGTATTCTATGGGAGTTAAAGCTTCAGCCTCTGAAACCGTCTAGACCTTAAATCGGGGCGAGCAATTATTTTGGGCGGAGGGCTGCTTATCGAGTTTTGGCAAGCCATCGAGGGCCACATGACAGGCAGCCAGGGGCAGATAAATATTAATTTTCTCAATTTTGGGAGGGCTCTGCGGGCTGGATAGAATGTCCTGAAAGGCTGCATCTGGCCTGTGAACCGTATTTTGCCCATCCCTGCCTTAAATGCTTCAGGCTACAAGAGAAAAAGGAACAGTGGGGACACCCCCCCCCCCCGGTCATACCCAGTTCACTCCCCCTTTCAACATCCACTTTACCACTGTGGATGTTTACAGGCCTATTTGACACATGTTGGGGACATGGGCCTTAGGCCCACAAAGCAAGTTAGCCCTGACTGTTAATAGAGGGGGGCTATTGGATATGTGTCAACTGATTACTTAGAACAATAAAGGAACAAAGCAGGCACAGAAGTGAAGGTCACAGGTTCACAATGAGGGCGCGGGGGGGAGGGGGGGGGGGACGGACGGACAGGACACACAGGGCAGAGCATGTTGGACAGTGCCCACTGGCCCTCAAATGAGTCCAAGGAGCCAGTGGACACCTTGTGACACAGGCCTATTTGTTATGTCACTGGGGAAGCATAGGCCTAGGTCCACCAAGTAAAACTAGAAGCCTTCCTTAAGGAGACCACTGCAGATGTTACAATCGAGTCCTTGGGACAAATAAAAGTAAAACAGGGAAAGGAGCGAGGGTCATAGGTTTATAAGGAGTGCACCAAGGGGGGACACTAAGCACAGACTGCTCAACAGTGCCCACTGGACCTTGAAGGAGTACAAGGAGCCAATAGATACTGCCCTGCAAAGCATTTGCTCCCGTAGCCCAGCAGATATGGACACGAGAGCAGCCCTGTAGTCCCCTGGGGGTTCTCACGGCCATAACCTCCTTCCTGAGCTTAGCCAGGGTCAGGAGGAAGCCTACCAGGAGGCCCTGGGAATGCATAAATGAACAGGTGTGAGGAGCCGTGCAGCCAGGGCCTCAGCAGGTGTTGGGATTGGCACTGGGGGTGGGCTGCCGTCTGGCACTCTCCAGCTGAGCGGGCACCAGGGCCTCCTTTGCTGGCAGAAGGGGCAGGCCAGTGTTGCCAGATGTACGATAACCATCATATTTGTACAATAATTTCCACCCTTGTACAATGTACAATCAATAACAGTAAAAGTATTCAAAATACATGATAATTTTTTAAACAGCTAACAGATACAGCAGATGCAACGCTCAAGTCTCTCCCAACTTAAGGGAGTCTTAACCAACATTTAGCTTTGCTGTCAGCATTTTCTTACAACTGCTTGTCTAGAAATAAAGAAATGCTTCTGCTTTGTTGACCCAGGTGTCACTCACTCACGATTTCCAGTGACCCACAGAAAGTAAATAAGACTTAGTTGCATACTTATTTGCATATTTGTTTTTCAGTGTACGGTAGTTTTTCAGCAAACACGATGATTTGGAGCTACAAAGTCGGTAATTTGGGGCCGGGGCCTCCCCCCCCAGCATTCCAGTACCAGCCCCCGCCCCGCGCCCTCAACGGGCCTCGCGCAGCTCCAACGGTCTCAACGGCCGCCCCTCCCCCCGCGGACCGCTGGTGAGGGAGAGGGGCCGGGACCTTGGGGCTGGCGCCGGG